CGAATGATTAATCGCAGCACCCTGATTAGTCCAAAAATCCGGGCGCCGATTAATTGATGCGATCCTAATATCCAGAATTCTGGATACCAATCATGCTAAAAGATTTCGGGATTTGACAGTGTGTAACATATGATTATTTCATAATTATTAATTTACTTGTTACTTTAATATACAAATTAATGTTTAATCATTAAATAGCATCATTTTCATATCTTATTAAAAATTACACATTATACCTATCTTAGAGGCCTATAAAATGCATTTAAGAGTTAGCGTCAATAAATTGATATATTATTATTAAAAGCTTATTAACTGTCAAAATGTTAGAACGCTTGATCTCGTAAAGTGGAATATAAAATAATGCTATAAAGACATACTAACAATAAGTAATATAATTTTGTGAAGTTTAATTTATGTATATACATATACTTAAAATGGTTTAAAACTACTGTAATTTAAAAGATCAAACATTTTTAAACAAAGTGGTCTCAAGATATTATAAAAAATTGGAAAATAGAATAATAATAAACTTTTTTAGTTAATTTTGAGAACTTGTTTTTACGCTTAAACTGATGTTTGTCAAAGATCGAAATATACAAGTATAAATTCTTAAAAATTCTATAAGTTAACATATATTATTTTTGCGAGAATAGCAAAGATTTATATAAAAAGAAAACGATATATGCGATTTAGCAATAGTAGCGCAATAGTAGCAATAATCGCGACAGGCGTTGTTTTAGCTGCTAACTGACGTGTGATACCGATTGGCGTGTAGAAAGAGAGAGAGAGACACGAATCCGCGTGTAACGACACTTGCCTCAGGTCGCGTAAACTGGCGGGATAATATATGTTCGAGGTACACACATAGGAGAGGCAAACGTGGCAAAGGGTTATCACTAGAGCGGCAAACGCAACGCAAGCAAAATTACAACGCGCATTCGGCAATCCGATGATCTCGCATAATAAAATGCGCGCGAAAGAAGTTGCTTCGCATTTGCGCTTTAATTAAAAGTGTATCGTGTTTTTGTCAAATTGTGTGCGCACGCGTGAGCAAAATAAACGTTATACGGCTTTACACGAAGACTGTACCGTTCGATTAATCGTTATTTCGCATTACCCTGTTTGACGATTCAACAATCGCGCGCAGCCTTTTATTTGCTGATTGAAATATTCATAGTATTCTTGAGTGTGCGTGCGTGTGTGTGTGTGTGTGTGTGTGTATGTGCCTCGTATCTTATTAAAAATTTTTAAAATACATGTATCTTTACATATTCGCCAATTAAAAGTATCTTGCATTACACATGTTAAGAGAATGCGTAGAATCTATAAAAAACTAATATACTTTTTAATAAATACAGTATAATTAATACTCATATTTTTAATATTAAATATTTAATATAGAAAGAAAATTAAAAAGTATTAAAGTTTAAACAAACTTTCTCTCTGTTTTAAACGGAAGAAATATAATATGTTTTCAAATATAAGATTTTCGTAACAACTTTCTGTTTTGAAACTGAAAGAAACTTTAATTTAATGAATCCTCTTTTAAAGAAAAATTTTTAGTATTGTTAGCCATGAAGAATTAAGACATTAAAATAAAGGAAATATTTACTTTGCAGATAAAATATAAAGATATCTCTCTCTAGCACTTTCGTTCACTGTGTGTATAAGTAAAATCTATATTAAACAAAGTACTTTATCAATGTTTCTTTTACTTATAATAAGACATGTAATATATCTAAAATTTCTCGCAGCATATCAAATGTAACATAAATTGTTGCTTTGACAATCACTGTTTTAACGATCACAGACAATTGTCATTCGCGAAATAATTTCTTGATCAAAACAAGGAGCTTCCAAAAATACACGGACAAAGCATTCTTGTGGATGATCGTTTCTTGTTGGCGTGCTCCTAGAATTCGTTTTTGCGCATGGAATTAATTAAAACGCACAAAGTAAAAGTAATGTCCGAGTCCCTTCCACATCCATATGAACCAGCTTGCACACCAGCTTCGCGTTCACGCTGTCAAAGCACTTTGTGGCCGTCCGCAGTGCCACAATTGTGCTCAGGTTGACCACAAGCGCGAGCTTCTCGCAAACTGTGCTCCGACGTAGTGGCATTTTTGTCGGTTCGTCAGGAATAATTAATGAAAATTTGTCGACATTTTCCCCTCCTTTTTTTTCACACTCGCCTTTTTCACGAGTTAAAGACACATCTTCCTCGCGATCGACGATAAAACTTTTTATACTTGCCGTAAACCTTGCGCCACAAATGCCACTGCGAAATATATCAGTGCGCATCGTAAAAGATCTTAATAACGTATGAATAGAAGTATAGATCTACTAAGCTGTAGTAGCCGTTGATTCTTTTATTTTCACGATTGATTGTTTTTATATTTAAAAGCGAGTTCTCTTAACTGAAATACTATGCTATCAATAATTTTACATTACAATATATTGAAAAAGTTTTTTTTACGTTTAGCATTTGCCATTTTAATTCCATTTTTAGGAGAGGCAAACGTGGCAAAGGGTTATCACTAGAGCGGCAAACGCAACGCAAGCAAAATTACAACGCGCATTCGGCAATCCGATGATCTCGCATAATAAAATGCGCGCGAAAGAAGTTGCTTCGCATTTGCGCTTTAATTAAAAGTGTATCGTGTTTTTGTCAAATTGTGTGCGCACGCGTGAGCAAAATAAACGTTATACGGCTTTACACGAAGACTGTACCGTTCGATTAATCGTTATTTCGCATTACCCTGTTTGACGATTCAACAATCGCGCGCAGCCTTTTATTTGCTGATTGAAATATTCATAGTATTCTTGAGTGTGCGTGCGTGTGTGTGTGTGTGTGTGTGTGTATGTGCCTCGTATCTTATTAAAAATTTTTAAAATACATGTATCTTTACATATTCGCCAATTAAAAGTATCTTGCATTACACATGTTAAGAGAATGCGTAGAATCTATAAAAAACTAATATACTTTTTAATAAATACAGTATAATTAATACTCATATTTTTAATATTAAATATTTAATATAGAAAGAAAATTAAAAAGTATTAAAGTTTAAACAAACTTTCTCTCTGTTTTAAACGGAAGAAATATAATATGTTTTCAAATATAAGATTTTCGTAACAACTTTCTGTTTTGAAACTGAAAGAAACTTTAATTTAATGAATCCTCTTTTAAAGAAAAATTTTTAGTATTGTTAGCCATGAAGAATTAAGACATTAAAATAAAGGAAATATTTACTTTGCAGATAAAATATAAAGATATCTCTCTCTAGCACTTTCGTTCACTGTGTGTATAAGTAAAATCTATATTAAACAAAGTACTTTATCAATGTTTCTTTTACTTATAATAAGACATGTAATATATCTAAAATTTCTCGCAGCATATCAAATGTAACATAAATTGTTGCTTTGACAATCACTGTTTTAACGATCACAGACAATTGTCATTCGCGAAATAATTTCTTGATCAAAACAAGGAGCTTCCAAAAATACACGGACAAAGCATTCTTGTGGATGATCGTTTCTTGTTGGCGTGCTCCTAGAATTCGTTTTTGCGCATGGAATTAATTAAAACGCACAAAGTAAAAGTAATGTCCGAGTCCCTTCCACATCCATATGAACCAGCTTGCACACCAGCTTCGCGTTCACGCTGTCAAAGCACTTTGTGGCCGCCCGCAGTGCCACAATTGTGCTCAGGTTGACCACAAGCGCGAGCTTCTCGCAAACTGTGCTCCGACGTAGTGGCATTTTCGTCGGTTCGTCAGGAATAATTAATGAAAATTTGTCGACATTTTCCCCTCCTTTTTTTTCACACTCGCCTTTTTCACGAGTTAAAGACACATCTTCCTCGCGATCGACGATAAAACTTTTTATACTTGCCGTAAACCTTGCGCCACAAATGCCACTGCGAAATATATCAGTGCGCATCGTAAAAGATCTTAATAACGTATGAATAGGAGTATAGATCTACTAAGCTGTAGTAGCCGTTGATTCTTTTATTTTCACGATTGATTGTTTTTATATTTAAAAGCGAGTTCTCTTAACTGAAATACTATGCTATCAATAATTTTACATTACAATATATTGAAAAAGTTTTTTTTACGTTTAGCATTTGCCATTTTAATTCCATTTTTTTTTTAAGTGAGTTTATTTGTATGTATAAAATTATTAGTGAAGTTTATGCAAGAAAATATTTGATCAAAATAATTTATTTTCATTTTACGTAAAATTAAAAGAAATGGTGCATAAAATCGGCTAATATGCGCTTGTAGCCGGAAATGGCGGAGTAATTCATTATCGATCAATCATTGGAACACCGACGAATGTAGCATTATATCCGCGCTGCCATTAATATCGATATCAGCTTTCGCGATTAACGCCGATTCGCGATGGATTAAATTCGGTTCATTCGTGCGGAATCGGCACTTAATGAGAAAGTAATTCACTCCGCAAGCATAAAGCAGAGAAAATTCGTTGCTCTTTCTTATTTTTTTATTAATGAAAAAAAAAATAATGTGCCAATATAGTCTGATAAAAGTCAAAACTTCAAATTGCTCGTTATAACATATCATAATTAAAGCTGATAATTAATAATAAAGCCGTAATTAAATTCTAATAAATTTAACCTGACATATCACACAGATAAACAAAACAAAATATATTTTACATTAATTGTAATAAATAAAGACCATTTTTATACGTTTATAACATTAAAATTTGCATTTCCATCAAAATAACATGAAATTTCGAAAAATTTCTGCTTTGGTCGCGCATTAATCTCATAAAAAAAGACAGGAATCGAATGCACCCTGCGCAAGCTTTAAGGCGCCGCAAGCTGCCAAATATCTGGCAGCGTTTTCCTCGGTGACGCGACTCGCCAGAAGAAACTCTCTCGCGGAGGGTGGGCGATAGATGCGCGGCGTTGTGCTTGCTTGGGTGTTTCGAGGCCGCGTAGTAGGGAGCTTGCGCCTAGCCAGACCGACTGGCTCGAGCTTGCGAGCTTTCTAGCAGCAGCCAGTCGCCGGCTGCCGGGCCACGACCTCGCATCAACCCGGTTGTTCGTTCACTCGGTTGGATGCTGCGCGAGAGAGTTTCCACGGACCACGTTTTCGCAGATCTTCGAGATTGCGTTCGAGCTTTCGATAGACTATTCTACCGCTGTCTCCTCTTCGCGCCACGAGCACATCACAAAGAGGGGCTAGAAGTTTTGTTAGAACTGTATAAAAATTCTTAACGTTGCGCAAGTTTTTCCATGATTGTTTTACATTATATCCTCCGTAAATTTGTTTAATTAATTCATACTTGACTTATCTGTCAACTTAACTTTAGCAATTATTTCGTACAATTTTCGAGATATCAAGTAAAAATTGAATGGACACTCACAGAGATTAGATGCAAACTCTATACGTGAAATTCAGACGTATAAGAAGAACCCGTATCAAGGATTGCGGTATCGAAGATTGAAGGTCGGGGTCGGATGTGAGAATTGTCTCGTGCAAAAACAAGTGACGCCCATCGGTTGTTTTTCCGAGTAACAGCGGAGTATGGCGGATGGGTGACAGACGCGAATCCACTGCAGGCTGAAGGTGTTTTTCAGCGTCGGTGGGACCATGTGAGGCTTCAACCATGAGGGTGAGTGTAATTATAAAATTTCTTTTATAGCTGATAATCGTTTTAATCTTTAGAGTTTTCGAGAAGCTCCTCTTTCGTCTCGTAATGTTTTTGCGATATATTGAATCTCGATATTCTACAGAACAAATACGGATCAAGGAGTATTTGCAAAAACGTGCAAATCAAATGATAAAATTTATGAGTTAATCAGTATTGTGCATAAAAATATTTATTGTATACAGTAGGGCGGTTAAACAAATTTAAATTCATCTGAGATATTCTCAGATAAATTAAAACAATTCTTTGTTTATATTATAATTTACCATTTTAAATTATAGTATGGCAATTGTATATGTAAAATAACAACAATTAATTTCCATTGAGCGAGCACATGGCATAATATAATATTTTAAAACTGTTTTAATTGTTTTGTACTAACTAATCAGCAATTTATTAACTAAAAGCAATTCAGCAAAATTATTTCAATTGAAAATTTACATGAGCGTATGCACCGGGGTTCGCTTTGATGTACGTCTGCTATATGTATATTATATATTTTCGGTTCACATGTTGTAAACCAAAAAGAAAAATAGATATATTATAGAGATAAATTGCGTTTCAAAGTTTCAAACTTTACTATAATAAAATATGTATATAGTTAAATTTCTTATTTTATTTTGTTAACAGACTCCAGATATTTCCAAAAGATTTTCGTAACGATCAACACTTAGAAAATATATTCCAGAAGTCTAATTAAGAGTAATGTCAGTCTTTAACTGCCTCTATGGAACAAGTTAAATGTTCAAATGCGACAAAACTTCTAATAAGGAATGATTTAAGTGACAACGGATTAAAATCATCTGGGGAATTACAGTAGGTTAGCTCTCTGGTGTCTGTCGACCTCGTGACACCAACGCCATAATACCCCCAGGCGAATTTTCATCCATGGTAGTTGGAGCGCAGCGTGGCATAACTTCCGCTAACTTAGCCGACTTCAATTGGGAAGTGTCCCTGACTGCGGTACTCGGAAATGACTTAATCGATGATGCGTAAATTTTGTATTATCTTAATAATACTAAATACGAGCTCTAACATAATTTTCGAGCATATTATATAATTTGATTTGTACGTGTAATACAATTTTTGTAATTTTTTAATTTCATTCTTTAGGTTTTATATGAAGCGTTTTAATAATCTTTTTACATTACGTTCCTTGTATTAAAAATAAACGTAAAATATAATTACGTTTAAGTATAGGGTTTTATTATATTCTGCTTAATTTATGTGCTGTATAAAAATTTAAAGCTTTATGCTTTCCGAGTATGTAATTAAACTAATTGAAAGAGGTTTTTAAATGCATCTTCTCTGTAATACTGAACCATAACGTTAAACGACTACTTGAGCCTATTAAAAGATGCACACTATGATAAACTTGGAAACTCAACGCGTACTAGGTAAATTCGGCCGCAAACTTGGGTGGTAAATTTTATTTGCACGGCTAACACGTCGGTACTTGCCGAAGATTTTCCACTTGATAGTTTCAGGCATAGGTTAAAAAGAAAAAAAGATGAATGTTTGAGAGACACTCACGGCATACTTTACTTTAAACTTCAGTTGGCGTGAGAAATTTTGGAAAGTTCCGGACAGGTGTCGACGAGAAAAAAACCGAAGCATCCACTAAGATAAATTGCATATCTCGCGTCTGACAAAAACATTTTAAAACTTTAAGCGGTAAATTAAGCTTCAAGTATCTCTAATTCTACGTTGTAAACATCCTCTATAAAATGTAACTTTTCTCGTAATTCGCAATTCTATTTTAATTATTGAGAGTTTGCAAATGTTTAAAATTAAAATGAGGATAGTCTCGCATTTCCGGTGATCCGTGAAAGCGTGAAACAACGCGAAAATGGGAAACACACAGGTAAGAAACCGCCAATTAAGAACGTAATCAGCAACTGCTCTCAGACTTTGGTGAATGCTGGAATCTGCGAGGTTATCTTGTGCTTCAAGCTTGATATTTATATTAGCAATGCAAATTGGAGTTGTATGCGGATAGCATTGCTACAACCAACAGAGCACGACCACATAACATTCTGTAAGCGTTTACATAGAAATAAAATTAGCAGACACGCATAAATATTGTTTACGTATGTAATTCTCCCTTATTTTAAATTCAATAAAATTAAATTTTAATCAAAATAATTTATGTATAAAAAAAAATAAAAATAAAATTCGAGTTCTTTAAACACGCGTTTAGCAAAAATTATTTTTCCTTTGACACCTCAAACAAAATACAATTTTAATTATTCGTTTTTTTTCTTTATCTAAAGTAAATTATTTATTAACGTAAAATGTATGTTTAAAAAAAATATTTTAAACAAAACTATTTCAATTTTGTGTGTATGTGAGAGAGTTTTTATTATGTTATGCTATTCATATCTTGTATTACTCATTCTGGAAACGACTCAAATTTAGCAGTCTACAAATCATTTTAGACAAATATTTTGCATTATTTTTTAGGAATTATGAACAAATTATAAATTTTTGAATATATTATCGAACGTATAAAAAACAGATTTTTCGTAAAAAAAAATTTGCTTTTCGCCCTTGCGGTTTTACGATCAAGCTACATGATACGACTTACTTTACAATTTTAATTCAAAACAACATGCTTTATAAATATATGTAAATCTCGATTTAAAGCAATTTACGTTATTTATTTCAATGGTTTAAAAATGCTGTGAATCTAATTGTCAAAAACTTATTAAAAGTTAAATTGTATATCAATGTAATTTTTTAGTTCAACTATTATTACAGTAAAATCAAAATTGTTTAAATCAAGTTTTACACTTCCTGCATTTTTTAAATGGTATCTCGGTTAATTATATTGCAGAACTCGTAATCAATCAATTGAACAAAAAATGTAATACGAGGCATGATATCAAATGCAATATATAAGTACATGTATTTCCATATTATCGTATGTGTATAAATGTTAATGCGGTAATCGGGCGAAGGGCAGATAGAAAAAAGCTCTATATGCACGTAAGCCAGTTTATTACATTACTTGCATTTGCCTATAGCACTGCTATTAAAGGCAATATTTAAATTTGGCATAAAAGAGCATTCTACTGAGACCAAAATTAAAAATTTTACGGTATGTATAGCGTTACAGAACAATCCCAACAACGTGAAAAGCGTTCTTTTGCTCAATATTTGAATTTCATAAAATGCTCTGCTGTTATGTATATTCAAAAGCCAAGTTGAATAATGTATTCATGCGACGAATGTACATCAACGAATGATTGGTCAATTTTACGGTATCAGCGAATCGTGTTTTTAACAATCATATTTACTGATTTATATTCTTCATTTAATTATTAATAAAAATTTCAATTATAATCAGTAAATAATAAATAAAAAATTTATAATAAATACAATCAATATTTTATATATGTATAATCGAAGGTATAGATATTTATATTCTTTTATATAAATACATTTTCTCCGCCCTTTTCTTGAAGATTTTATAATATAAAAAATCTAATCTCTTTCTGCAACATCTATGTAACATCTTTAATGATTTTCAATCAGTGACACTTTAAAATTTCAAAAACGAGCGAAGAAAATAATTCGTAAAATTGATAGCAAAATAAAAGTCTCAACAATAGATTCATGAATGCAATTTCATTATTATGTAATAATAAAAAATTTCAGATTAAAGATAATATCGATAAAATAAATAAACTCAAACAGAGAAGTGTTTGACGGTTAAGTCGACGAGAGGATCTCATCGATAACTCAGTACGTCGCGCGATTCGTACAATGCCGTCTAATTATGTATTCCCACGTTGATCGAAATTCCCGTTTTCCATCCGAGCGACCATACTTGCCGTCCATCGAGACACTTGGATGGCACCCGCCCGTTCAAGCGGAACATCTTGTATCGCTTGTCAATAAATTGTGCGACGATATCGTTAGCATATGTATTGCGTTTTGCCCGTGTTACGGGCAGGTATTACCGCCGCCGCGGATTGCACTCAGACAGTTTTATATCAGACACGTAATAGAGAGAGGTATTACACGCGCCGAATACATTCTCATAACGAGGAACGGCACGCAAAGTACATCTAACTGGAAAATCGCTACGTAAGGATCGCGTATCATTTTAGCTCGTTCAGATCGACACAATTGCAGCATATCATAACAAGAAACGCGTTCGATACAAGGGGAGAATCCAAAAGAAATATCAGTTCCATTTTCTAGTATTCGTTATTGTATTATTAAAAGACAAATACACATACCAAAAATTTACTCAATTAAAAAGAGACAAACAAGTGAAAAAATCAAACCGCATTTATCCATAAATAAAATTAAAGTTTCTCGCTGTTTGACTAACAATAAGTTGATCTTTGGATTTCCCGCATAAGTGAAGAGAATCAAGAGATGCAAGGGCTAACATATCTAGAGCGGTTATAGGGGCAAGCCGTAAATTGGGAAACTTTGAAATTCCTAGTCTCACCAGATATGTTGCCTTGCACATAGGGTGCTGGCGTCAAAGTGTTCTTTCAAGCGATTGGAAACGTCACGGAATAGTAACCCGTTCCACGAAACTATATTGCAGAGCACTTTGCAAACTACATTTCGAGATGAACAGTTTAGAAATAATATTTGAACTAATCAATGCAAAAACTTTAAAAAATTTTTAATATTATTTTGACAAACAAGTGAAAAAATCAAACCGCATTTATCCATAAATAAAATTAAAGTTTCTCGCTGTTTGACTAACAATAAGTTGATCTTTGGATTTCCCGCATAAGCGAAGAGAATCAAGAGATGCAAGGGCTAACATATCTAGAGCGGTTATAGGGGCAAGCCGTAAATTGGGAAACTTTGAAATTCCTAGTCTCACCAGATATGTTGCCTTGCACATAGGGTGCTGGCGTCAAAGTGTTCTTTCAAACGATTGGAAACGTCACGGAATAGTAACCCGTTCCACGAAACTATATTGCAGAGCACTT